CCTAGTGTAGGGAGACGAAACACAGCCAGATGAGTGCAAGACAACTTACAGGTGCATTCCCACTCGAATGTCTAAACCACCAAGTCCCTTTCATCTTCTTGTAACTACCTTTCTCAGGTTCCTCTTTTCTAGCTGTGACAGCCCCTTGGCTGGAGTGCCTTTGTCTAGCTTGCTCCCCCTCCAGGTTGTCCTATGTCTGGGCTGTTGGTGGAGTTGTCCTCAGACATGACTTTAGTCATCTCCCTCCCTGCTTAAGAACCACAAGAGCTCCTCATTAGCCAAGTCAAGTCTAGACACCTCTGCCTGGCTTTCAGGCTCCCCATAATCTGACCCTCCCTGAGTGACACGACAGCTGTTTTCATATTGGTGAAGGGCTGTCAGAGAGAAGAAGGATTAGTCTGATTCTTTGCTGCTCCAGCAGGCAGACGGAGATCATAGGTGGAAACTACAGGGAAACCTTGGTGCCTCAATACAAAGAATTCTTCTCCTCTGTTTTTAGTGTGTGAATGTGGGTTGCGGGGGTGGTGGGGTAAAGGTTGTGTTTCTGGACGTCTGACGATGTAGGGAATATTATTGTGTGCAGCACCCACAGTACTTGTTCTCTACGTACCGGTCACAGGTGGCAGGAAGTCATAAAATACTGCACATCCAGTCCCAACATCAATCGTGTGAAATTTCTGATAGTTTCAACAGACTATTGTTTACCAAGCCTCCTAAATCAATGAATGGAGACAACAGGAGGAATATTTTAGATTCTCAAGAAAATACGTATTTGTTTTGAATGCCTCATGTTTGTGTGGAATGTTTGTGTTAAAGAGAGAGGTGGGAGCCAAATTCTGTAAAGCCCTGTCGGCCATGGTGAGGAATTTGGCAACTGAAGCAGGGCAGTGACATGATCCTAGAATGGAAGCAGGAGACCATGAAGAATGAACTTTCGAACAGCAATGAACTTGGCAGCAATGTCACAAATGGCCTCCAGCAGAGATGAGCTCCCAGACACAGGAGTAGGGATGGGGAGCCCCCTGTCAGGGATGCTGCAGAGTGAAGTTGGACTCGAGGAGGTATGCTGAGCAAGACGACTTCTAAGAATCCAACTTCTGACATTCTCCCCAGGCCAGCCTCCCCTGCCCCAGCCTCACATCTCTAGCCTGGATCTCTGCAGTGTCTGCAGAGAGGTGGTGCCAAACCGTCTCCCCGCTCAGAACCTTCTCGGCACACCTACCCTGCTCTCCTTTTTGTCCTTCGGATTCTTCATACCCACAGCAATGCTCTTGATAATAAATTATTACAAATGTGCAACAAGCGACTGACAGAATAAGCTCTTGTACATTCATATAATGGAATGTTGTGTAGCTATTTCCATTCAGGTGATGCAAGATTTAGCGTGGAAAGATGGGCACCATATAATATTATGGGAAAGAAGCTGGTTACAGTGTGACTTGAATTTTAAATATTAACCAAAAATGCATAGAGAAAATACTGGATGATGTATACATCAAAATGTCATATTCTCTGGGTAATGGGATTAGAGCTATTTTTCTAAATTTTACAAAATTAGCGTGATTTGACTGGTACTGGCTTTTATGAAAGTATTTTTTTTTGAATTTTTTTTAATGTTTATTTTTGAGACAGAGAGAGACAGAGCATGAATGGGGGAGGGGCAGAGAGAGAGGGAGACAGAATCGGAAGCAGGCTCCAGGCTCTGAGCCATCAGCCCAGAGCCTGACGCGGGGCTCGAACTCACAAACTGTGAGATCATGACCTGAGCTGAAGTCGGACGCTCAACCGACTGAGCCACCCAGGAGCCCCATGAAAGTATTTTTTAATTCTACCTTTTATCAAAGCCACCTCTTTCCCTGTAACTCTGACCTACACTTACCTTTTCTGACTCTAAATCTTGTTGGGTTTTTTTTTAATGTTTATTTTTGAGAGAGAGAGAGAGAGAGAGAGAGAGAGAGAGACGCACAGAGTGTGAGTGGGGGAGGAGCAGAGGGAGTGGGAGACAGAATCTGAAGCAGGCTCCATGTTCTGAGCTGTCAGCACAGAGCCCGACATGGGGCTCGAACTCACAGACCATGAGATCATGACCTGAGCTGAAGTCAGACGCTTTAACCGATTGAGCCACTCAGGTGCCCCTATACCTTGTTGGTTTTGTATAATCCGGTACATGGTTGTAATCTGTTTTGTGTTATTCTAAGATTGTTTCATTCATGTTAGTTTTGTCTCTACAGTTAAGTTTTCTCTGGCTAAACTGGTTTGGTCCTTGATCCTTAAGGTACCACATGACTTACCTGGCTTTCCAGAGAGGACCTAGACTTGGGAATGCTCCCAACGCCCATAGCTCTCATGGGGATTGGTTCCTGACCCAGGGATTCAGGAACCAAGAATGTTCAGCCCTATCACACTATTCCGCCTCTGTCTCCTCTGGTGATTGGATCGAGAGACCTGAAGAACCTGAGGGGCTGTCCGAATTCTAACCCAGCTGTTCTCCAGCAGCTAGGGCACAAGTGGAGATTGGAAGGTGACTTTTGCATTCTTTTCTCGTTGCTTGTGAACAACATTAGAGCTGAGAGAATCTTTAGTGACTATCATTCTTTTAGATTACCTGTATCCTGTTCTTGAGAAATGGCCTTATTGCCACAGTGCCCACTGTGCTCTGGATACCCTGCCAGAACAGGAGCTTTGTAAAGCCGACTGCAGGGACAGGTCTGGAGAGGCATCCCTTTGTTCTCGTGCCTCATCTGTGCTGGGAGGCAGCTGCTCTCTTACATTTTTACTAGCAGACCCTCTCAAATGACCTTTGCAATGATTTCAGCGTTCTCTTTTTACTCCATAGGCGATTCAAACTCCAGTGACCACAATTTAGGACTGTTAACATCTCTCTTTTCCATCACTAAACCAAAGGGGCAGCATGGCTTCCTTAAATAAGGCTTAGAACAGAAGACCCTGCTGTTTTCTTGATGTTTGTTTGTTTTTTTTCCAAGTGCATTCAGACGTGATTCTCCATAGAGACCTGAAGGGCTGTCAGGTGGAAGGAAGGACAAGATTTATTCTGTAATGGATTTCTATTGCTTCTACAGCCCTAACACTGCTCTAGTCTGGCACTTTCTCTGTCTCCCTTGCCACAGTCCTGGTCAAGACCACCGTGCAGCCATGCCTGCATGACTGTGACAGTCTCCCATCAGGTCTACCTGCCCGTCCGGTCTTGCTCCTCTAATCCTTTCCCAGAGAGCCTAAGTGATCTGTTTAAATTGTGAATCTGATCACACCACACCTCTGCTTAAAATCTGTAATGCCTCTGTGCTGCCTTCAGGATAAACTCTAAACTCCTTAGCATTGCTTTTAAGACTCAGCTCCTGCTTAGCTCTCCAGTTGCATGCCTTGCCCAGACTGCCAGTCCTACCAAATCCCTTGTGTGCTGACCCTGGACACTTCTTATTCTCCCTTACCTCCAGGTCTTTCTCTAGAACATTTCCCCTCCTCTCTTCACCTTTTAGTTTATTTGCCTTCCAGGCGTCGCCTCAGATGTCACTTCCTCCAGAAGCTACCCCCAGTCACCCAAGGCCAGGCTGGGTATTCTTATGCATGTTTCTTGCCATTTTATCTTACAGGTACCTGTTTACATCTGTCTTCCTCTCCAAACAGTAAGCTCCTTGAGGGCTGGGATGGTTTTATTTATCACCATAACCCCAACACCAGCGTCTGACAGACACTCAATAGTTATTGAATGAATGAATGAATGAATGAGTGAATGAATGAATGACAGATGACATAACAAGGATGCCAGATGGACCTTTTTGGAGGTAGATTTCCACTCTGTGCACTGAAGAACTTGCTACTAACTGGTAATATCCAAAAAAGGGAACAGACCAACCCACAAAGCAGTTAAAGTCCTATCCCTGCAAGTCTGCAGACACAGCCTACGTGGTCCTCGGGAGGGAGCTTCTTCAGGGGATGGCAGGTTGGGGTACGTGCGCTCCACTCATTTCCCATCTGCCAGAAGACCCAATTAGATCCACTTCTGAGAGCCAAAGCTCTGGGTTGGGGTATCAGCTCTGCATTTACTGTGAGAACTGGGGCAAGAGGCAGCCTCTCTGAGCTGTCTTTACCTGTGAAATAGAGGTGATGCTTGCACTGCCTACTTCACAGACCTTGTGAGAGCAAAGCATAGTCACACACGTTAAATAAAGTACTTTGCAAAAGCCTTAAGGCCCAATGAAAGGTCCGATTATTTACCACATAATCCTTAGGTCTTGCAGCTTCACTAAATAACTCTTGTTCTGCAACTACATTAGAAAACAAAGTGCCGTGTGCCAAGTTTTACTCTGGCAGGCCGAGCTGAGAGAGCAGAGAGGTCTGCCTCTTCTGTGCTGTGCCATTGTCCCCTGGAAAAGGCAAGAGTGGGGATCAAGAACACCTGTTTAGCTAGGATCTGTCAAAGGCCATTGTTCCTGCCATCAGGGAGATTCCTTGGAGCTTAATACTAAAACGAGGGGGAGTAGGGCTCCAAAGCCTTGAGTCACTATAAAAACCAGCAAGAACCCAGACTGCAGACATATACAACACACCTTCCTCTTCGACCCCTTGACTGATGCTTCAAGTCAGAGTACTTAAAAGCATTTCACTTCCCCTTTGGCATAACAAATCCAATGAAACCATTTAATTTAAAGGCTTTTTATTAGGAACCAGGGGAATGAGCTGCTTGTCCCTCTGTAACAGTCTAGAGTAGGTCATCAGGCCCAGGATGGAGAAAGGTTATTAGCAAAGGTACTGTGGTGTGCTTTGCTGCACTTGCTTAGGGCCTGGAAGGAAAGGTGGCGGCAACGGAGGCTGGCAGGAACTGGTGTTAGCCAAAACACCAATAGCCTGGGGAGAACCCTCTACCTTCCTTCCACCTCCACTCAAGGCCAGATGGAGCATGCCAGGAGACCGAGAACGTGGCTGGAGCAGGCAGGACGCAGCAGTGCTGGACCCCTGGCTGTATCGTGTGCTACTTCACTTCACTTGCCTGCCCTCCACTCTTCTTGCCGTTTGGTGATTAGGTATTTGAAGAACTCATACACAGACCATGCGATGGCTGTGGAGGGGATCTGGTAAATTACTCTGGCCTGTACCCCTCGGAAGTAGGCGGTCACACCACCTACTTGATACACCGTCCTGAAGGCACTAGCCATGCCTGTGATATGTCCTGTGATGTTTGAGTTCAAAGCCAAGGATTCCTGGGTGTTGAGCAGTGTTTTGCAAACGTCCAGTGGGGTTGTGGCAGCGGCAGCTACGGCTCCTGCACAGGCTCCAGAGAGAACGTGGGAGCTGGGGTTGTACCGTCTCTGGGGGTTAAAGTGCTCCTGCAGGAATTCATAGGTCATGAAGTGAATGGCTTGGAAGGGAACATTCATGGTTAGCTGGGTGGTGTAGCTACGATAAAAGGCGCCGGCCCCTTCATTTTGCCACACTGCCCGTACACAGTCTGTCACCCGGTGGTATGGGGAGTTATACATCTGCATCCTCTGCTTGACCACTGGTAGTGCCATCAACAAGAAGAAGGAAGGAAATGATGCCAGCAATCAACCGGTGAGCACGAGTGTCCAGATTCAGAGTCCCGAGTCAGCGGGTCAGCCATTGGAATGGAGAGGGGAAAAAAAAAAGTATGAGTGAGCTATCAGTCTAATAAATTAAAGTTTCCCTTTTTCGAGAGAAGGGGATAGAAGAAGGTTGATAAAGGGCCAAAAAATAAGACTGACTTATAGTAGGATTTCTTTAAAACCAACCAGTGAACACACAAGATACATCTATGGTTTAGAAACTCCAGTAGATTTTCTTGAAAAAATTACCAACCTATTATGATCTTACCCTTTCATAAAACCCCAGGGAAGAAATGACTCAGTGGCAGTGAACATGAAAATGAACAGATAGCCCTAACAATCCCAATCCTCAGGTATGCAGAGCACCCAACTCTTATGACATGAGGATGGTTATCCTCCTCAGGAGAAGGGCTACCAGAAAGAAAACACAGTTCTTAACCAAGAAGACTGTGGCTTTAGTTTCCAAACATCTACTCTCTCGAGTAGATAACATGGTATGAGCCCTGGATCTTCAGCTTAGCTTGGGCCCTTTCCACACCATGGCCTTGCCCAGACTGGTAAAGAGCTGGAGCTTAAAGAGCATGGCAACTGTGCTATCCCTTCACGTTTGTTTGAGTACCTCATTCTCCAACTCAGAAGCCAAGATCCAAGCAGCCGGGCAGGAACTGAGCTCTACAATTTACCCTTTCATTCCTATTTCGACTATCTTCATTCTAATAAGAATGGCAGGATTTTTAAATGTCAAAATCCATCTTTACCTCTTTGAAGAAAAGTGAAATACTCTGTTAAATTTTCAGATGAGATCAAATCCACTACAAAGAAGACTTCTGAGAAGGCCCAGGAATAGGCCAAGTAGAGCCATATCTTTTTTCAGGGAAGCCCCAAAGATGAATTAAAGCTCAATGAATTTGCTTCCTAAGGGGCTCCTCCTACCCACTGACAATATGGGGGGGGGCGCCCTCTACTGGTAAGAAACGGTAACACAAAAGGATTTCCCCACCAAAATGGCTGGGGTGCTCCCTGTCTTTCCTCCGCAAACCAGAAATAAAGGAGAAGCCTAGAGATGCAGGTGCAGTGGCCCACAGGGGGAAAGGTGGAGGAATCATTACCTTCTGCTGGATTCATGGCTGCATCATGCAGTAATGTTGCTACACAACCGGCCGCACCTGCAAAGGAGAAAACAATCGCCATACATGAGGCCAGAAAGGGCAACTGATTGAGGCACCAGAGTGAAGGGAGTGGTTAGGCTAAACAACAGCAGGGAGAGGGAACCCACTGCTCTCGAGCCCCTGTTCTGAAAAATGAAGATATTTGTTCCCACCAACTTAGTAAGGTTACCAGTCTACATTCCATATGTATAATAGGAAGGCCAGAAGAGTCAAAGAAAACAACCCAGATTTTATAAAGACGTTTCTGAGAATGAATGCACTTTATGCCCCAGACAGGAAGCAGGTACACTGCAGCCAAGGAATGCCAGCACCAACTGCCTCCAGTGGAGGGAGAACATGAGGGGCGGTGGTCAGATCTGCCCCACACCATCTCACCTGTCATCCTGCTGCCCCTATGCTGCCCATTCCAACTCCAAACTCTAACATCTATCCATTTAGACCTTTCCTTGAGGTCCTTAACCACCGTATCCCTCAACTTTCCTCAGTTTGGTTTTCAATCCTCAAGCATCAGGCTGCTGTCCCTTCCCTTACTTTCACATAACCTTCAACCCTCTGGTTTTTCTGTGCAGAAGTCTCTTGGCTCAACCCCAATTCACTTGAGGCCTTGTCGTGTCCTCAACAACACAAACTGCCTCTGGTCAGTTAGGATCCTGAAAAGGTGATGCAAAGAGCTGGGGCTCCATTAATGCCTTCCTTGGGCAGCTGGGTCACCTCAGATCCTGCCCCAAGGAGCAGGACACCACCCGATTATCAAGATATATACAGTGGGAGTATTTCAGTGTGTCTCCACATTACCAGGGCATTAGAAGTTGATGCAGGGAGATGAAAGAAGTCAAGCTGGTAGGTAAGGGAAGATACCGTAACACTTGGTGAGGTGCCCCAAAAGAGGGGTGGGGTTGAAGCAGCCCATTGTCTGAGAACGTCAGGTTTGGAAGTCCCTCCCCTATACTCTGGCCTACCCCAGCCCAAAGCTTCAGCTCCAAACCATGCTGAGACTGGAAAGCATTGACAGCAGCAAAGCCCAAAGAGTTGAGAAAGTGGGGGAACCAGCACAGGAAGGCTCAATACCATTGGCAATATGGCTATTGCCCCCAGGGTGGATTACATCACTCAATGTCTTTTTTAACTTTTCGTAGCAGGCAAAATAGAGGGCATGGGCAGGCCCTGCGCCTGTTGCTGTGACGTTTAGCCCCCGCATGGGTCTCCACAGCCCCTCTGTTCTTATAATCCTCCAGAGTGCCTCCAACACATTTCGATAGCGGGCGGCTGGGTCAGGCTGTAGGCTCTGCATCCGGGTCTGAAATTACAGAAAGAAGTGCAATGTCAGTGATGCCAACTTCTCATTCAACGTTGTAACTTCAGCACTCAGGCTTGGGACACTCCTCTGTGGAATCATGCCAATGTGCGGGAGTGCTACCTGGCACCTAGTTTTACTCCCAAATCTATGTCTGACCTTTTCAAGGCTTGGACCTTTTGCTAGTCATCTATGAAGGGAACACCATTCTTTTCTCAAGAATATAACTGCTTAGGAAGTATGCTTGAACTCTGAAATGATTCATAGCCCCAGCAACAAATATCAAGCCTGTTTCAGGAGATGTTGCTTTTGTGCCTTAATAAACCCAGGCCAAGAGTTCGTTACAAATGGATTCTAAAGTCAACTATTTACTGTCTACAACATTATGCCTTATTTCTGAAGGTTGATCCTGGGCCTGCTTCCTAACCACACACTATACTGACTAATGAGACGATGGCTCATCCTTTATTACATCTTTGATGATTATCTGACTTTCATGGATTATTTGGCATTGGCAGCTGAGCCTGTAGGTTAAACTCTTGGCAGAAGTAACATTTGTAATCAATGCTGCTCTATTTCTGGGAAAGAGCATTTGCCTTGAGACTATGAAAGGTGGAAACTAACTTTGTCTCTAAAACTGAAGGGGCTCCCAGATTTCTAATCAAAACTGAATGAATCCCCAAACTGGCATCAAATTAAATCAGTCTCTGTGAAACAGAATCCATGGAATTTCCAGAGGATTCAATGATTGGGACAAAAGCACATGGTAGACACTTTGTATAATGTTCCTGGACAAAGTCTGGTTGGGATTTGGGAAATGAATCTTTTTGAAATATTCACCAAATCACAGACCCTCAGAGGGAGGTTTGTCTCCCAATGAAAAACTCTTGTCTGTTGATCCATTTCAAGATTAAGATGGCATGGAGACTAACACTATAAAATCAATGTCCAGTGCCTGGAACAAAGTAAGCACTCAAGATTTGTTTGTTGAATGAATGAATAAATGAACGAATGAATCTTAGCTGTGTCTGCACCAATTCACAAAGTAAGAAGCAGACTATTAGTGAGCCAGAAGGGCAATTTATGCCCAAGTATAGTTTAAATTCCTACTTCATTCCGGGGCGCCTGGGTGGCGCAGTCGGTTAAGCATCCGACTTCAGCCAGGTCACAATATCGCGGTCCGTGAGTTCGAGCCCCGCGTCAGGCTCTGGGCTGATGGCTCAGAGCCTGGAGCCTGTTTCTGATTCTGTGTCTCCCTCTCTCTCTGCCCCTCCCCCATTCATGCTCTGTCTCTCTCTGTCCCAAAAAATAAATAAACCTTGAAAAAAAAAAATTTTAAATTCCTACTTCATTCCAATTACTGGTTCAATCTGGATTTAAAAGCTTGAACCTTCCTTTTGGCCAACTGCAATCCAAGAGTATTGTCTCTTGTCAAAAGCATGAGGGAAAAAAAAACTAACCAGATCAACAGGTCCTAGTTAGCTGTAAGCAATCCACATTCCTCTAGTTATTTTCTCTTGTCTGCTACCAACAAAGAACTGGAAAGTTAAAAGGTTAATTACTGTAAATGCAATCAGAAATACAGTTACCACTTATTACAACTTGACACATTCATTCTACTTCTCAAAAAAAGAAACCCATATAGTTCCAATAAAGCATGTGTTTACAGATCTTTCCCATCACTCATGGGGTATAAAATCCATCAGAGGAGTTATTCAGCGACTACAGGTCTTTGCTGGCTGTGGCTGCTGATAAAGATAAACTCATCATGGTGGCTTAACAATTATGTGTTTCCATTGGTTTGTTCGAAACTGTTCTTGCATAGGGAGAATGTTCAGAAGCTGTACTGCTCTGCTGAAGTCACTGGCATTATCTGGACAACCAGCCTTGAAAGGTCTGGCCTCAGAGATGTGGAACGTTTCACCCCCAAGAGAAACCTGGACTGTAAGTTACTTTGAACATATCATACATACCCCTAACTCTAATTCACGATTCTACTTACACCCTTATGGAGAGGAACCAAGCATAAGCTATGCCAAATACAGAAATGAATACAGCTCCCCAAATTTGTGGGCCAATAAATCTTTCTTTTGGAGAAAGATCAAATCTCTAAGAATTTATGAATAGCCTTTAATATAAAAACCACTAGCTTTGAAGAAAAGCCAAATAAACTAATAGCTAAATGGTTTGGCAAAAACAAGCCACATTTCAGTCAGAAAGCCTGAGTTTGAGCCCCAGCTTTGCTAGATGTGTGGCCTTGGATATGTCACTTAACCTGAGTTTCAGTGTTGTCATCTACAACATGAGACTAAGAATGGCTAATGGAGCTATTATGGGGATTTGAAGAGTCAGGGCATGTAAAAGCCATTGGTAATTTATGAAGTACTACAAATATAAGGCTTTTTATTGTCTTCAAACATGATTCTAGGAAATATGTGTTTATATCTTAGAATGTATAGATCATGGGAGTGTTGTCTCTTGTGTATGTCATTTCACAAATATGCATGGGCAACTAACTGGTCCTTAGCCACTAATAAATCAGGTTTCATTTTTGTATTTCTTGTTTTCACTTTATTGTTTTTAATGTTTATTTTTGAGAGACAGAGAGTGAGTGGGGAGGGGCAGAGAGAGAGGGAGACAGAGAATCCCCAGGGGGCTCCACACTGTCAGTGCACAGCCCAATGTGGGGCTCGAACTCACGAACTGTAAGACTGTGACCTGAGCCGAAATCAAGGGTCGGATGCTTAACCAACTGAGCCACCCAGGTGCTCCTATTTCACTTTCAAGTTTCTCTTTGGCTATAATGATTTTTTATGTCCGGCTATCAATCTGAAGTTCACATTTAGGACTGAGCACTATTGGGAAACTCTGTGCCTTGCTTGGCTCTGGAAATCTACTTTGGGGAGGCTGTATGGAAGGCCCGAGAGCCTGACTGGGGTCAAATCATGACTGTGCCACCTAACTTGCTTCCTTTTCTTGTTGTGTAAAATAATGAAAATGGTGTGTACTTCATGAAAATGCTTCAAGGATTAAACGGATAAATGTATGTAAGGCACATCAGTTAGTGTTTGGCAAACAAGAAGAGTTGACATTTACTGAATAATTATTATTAGATACAAGAAAGTCAAATAAGCCAACGTTTCCATTTCCTAACCTTTCATTGGTGAATGTGTATAGATACCATTTACATCTGGAGTTTGGCAAAGATTTATTTCCCTTTGTCACGATTACAGAGCCAAATAGCAGCACGTTGGTGACAAGAGGGTACTTTGATGATTTTGAGAAGAGTTCTGACTGCTTTGGTTGCAGAGCCTATCCCTATAGATAAAGTCTGATGTTTGCCTTTGAGGTCCAGAAATGGAAAACTGGATATGTTTGGGCTCCCAAACCTCCCTATTATGACCATGTAAATAGTTGGCTGAATAACTATGGCCTGGCAAGGTTATGCTAGGTTCCTCCCAAGGATATTTTAAATCAACTTGACCCTGAGAAGTGGCTGGGTAGCACAGGCTTGCATGCCAAGAGGCAATGTCAACTTTCATTTGCAAACACTGTGGTTGCTGTTTTGGCTCCAACACAGATACCTGCTTCTAGTCTTAGGGATGGTTGGGCTGCTCTTCTTCTCCACCACCATTTATGGTAAAAGAGGAACTGGGAAACCCTGGGACAAGTGAACTGGGAAGGCCTTTCTGAAGGAAGAGATTTGAATTTTACTTTCATATCTGTACAACAATGTTTAACATCCTAGCGACACTAAATCCTACTGGTCTCACCTAGTTGTTCCCTCTAGTCATTTAAATCCCAGCATTTAATGACAAATGAATATGGTTCTTCTAAAATAAGCTTTTGTATTTTTGAAGACTCTTGAGCATTTTTTTCCTCCAGGTCAAATAATTAATTTTTTAATATAGGGCTTTAAGGCATAACTATAATGTTATAGGACTTTTTTAAAACACAAATTTCAAAGCTTATGTAAATGAGTAAGAACTGTTCTTCAAAACAGCTTGGAAGGCTAGAAGTAACTTATTCCACCAGTGCTGTGATTATGCAAAATATTTCTGGAACTCCTCTTTCAGAAGTGTTTCCTCAGTGGGTTTGTCAGCCTCAAGAATAAACCAGGCTCCTTGCTTTCTGCTCCTACCTTCTCCCTGACTCCAATCAGTATTACCCATTTTGATCTCCCACCTTATCTACCATTTTTGATTCTGAATGGTCTGTTACTAAAAAATCGACCACATCTTGTGACAGGACAAAGGTCTGCCCTCTTTAAGGATATACACCCAAATATTCTAGAGGGATTTCTAACAAAGAAATTTATAAAATGTTTACAGCAACAATAGCATTATGTAAATACATGGAGTAAGGAGATAGCCTACCAAGGTAATAGGACAACACTTCAGTTGACAAGTTATATTAATATTCCTAAGTCAATCACATTATTACATTGTATTTTTCAAGTCATTAAATAATTTTCATTGCTTTCCTTGATCTAGTTTTCATTTGATACCCATCCTGAAACATAGCACCCTAGACCCTGCTAGCTCCTGCTCTCTGCTCACATTCTTAGTATAGGGAGGTTACTTTACTTTGCAGTTAGATCACATTAACTTTCGGATATATAGCATTAACAACTCACATTCAACCCAGACTTTATTACATAAATGTCTGAATCTTTTTTATTTGTACTTGCCCATTTTACATTTTAATACTGTTAGAGCATTAACCATCCTTTTACTTCTTTTGCAAAGATTTTACTTTTTATTTCTATTCCTCCCAATTGACAAGGGTAAAGTTCAAATATCCATTTTAACCAAGTTCATTTACCAGTTTCAATAGGGATGGCCACTGGTAGGAGCTGCTTTGCAGTGCACTAGAAAACTCCTATCAACTCAATGTCATTCACAAAGCTTAATGAGTACTTTCCCCATTTCCTCATCCACACTACTTATGAAAACATGTGATAGTACCAGAATCAGGAAGAAGCAGAAGAGATAGACTTTGTATTTCCCAACTCAGTACTCTCTCCTTTTGAATATGTAACATTGGTCTAATTTGAGGAGAAAACACACGTCAAAGAGCTGTGAGAATACTGTTTGGACTATTACTCCTGATATGTAAAGGAGGTACCACTCTCTTTCTCAATACGTTTATTTCAACAGCCCCCTTGAATTTACTTCTCATTCAATTTAGTCCTCACTTTTAGAGGTTGGTACCTTTCCTAATGCACAAGATTAACTGTAAAGAACAATCTGTTCCCTCTTCACCTAGCTTTCTTCAGAAGCACCTGACATCTGTACCCACTAATCAGTCTGCTTGGTTGTGGTTGCCATTAGTTTTTACTTTCACAGGAATCATGCCTTCATGTTAATCCTATTTCATTTTCTTCACACATACATCTGCTTTTCAAAATCATGCTTCCCTTCTAGGCAACTTTCCCCTTTTTTCAAATTCAGGTGGCTAAAGAAACACACTGTCAGGTTCATCTCTCGTTTGGGGGCCTATGTGCCCCCATACAAAATCCTAATCCCAGTTTAGTTTTCATGTTCAGGAAATAGGTGGGGTGTCATGCTTGCTGCACAGAGAAACCGAAACCTTTTCCTGAACATGGGTTTTCCCAAATCATTTCCAGTCTGGAGCTATGAATTCTGACTGCACAATGATTTCCAATCATTCATGGCTTAAGAGTTAGTAAGTAAATCATTTATCTAGCCGAGACATTTCAGATTTCCGTTCTTGCCCCAACACTGTTAAGGGAAGACACAGCAAGTTTCTTGTAAAAGCACTCGCCCAGAGAGCATCTTCAAGGCATTAAGATCCTATTCGGAGTCTGATTCACCCCAGTTGTCTTCACCGTAATCAAATTAGTAGCACTTACCTGTTCCATCCCATCCCACCCTATTCCTGTTTAGTCCCGTCTAGGATCCAGACTTTGGCTGACAGATTTTCTTTCCACAGTCCCGATTCAGATCTCACTGACGGTTAGAAATGGGTCCTGGTTCCTGACTGGGTTCAATTCCCAGTCGGGACCTTGCTTGCATGGCGTATCGGTCGAATCGTGTGGTGGTGGCAGGAGCCAGGAAGAAACCCATGTCGGCTCCGGCTCTCGGCCAGGATCCTGGCTCGGGACAGGACCCAGGGGTCGGGTCAGCCCCAGGTCGGATTCAGAGCCGGTCCAGGTCTCACCTTGACGCAGTCGATGGGATACATCACGCAGTGCTCCAGGATCCCTGCCACGGCGCCCGCCACCATGTGCGTGGTGACAGTGGCTCCAGCCGGCAGCGCCTCGTAGTCCGGGCCGGAGTCCGGATCCTGCCGTACCGGGGGCCTGCAGGCCCCGGCCTCCCCGCCGCCGGCCCCCCGGCCCACGCCCCGCTGCAGCCACCCGTCCAGCAGCGCCGACTCCCCGGGGCTCCGCCCCGGCCCAGCCGCCGACCTCCCCGCCACACCGCCAGCACCCCGCCCCTCCAACTCCATCCACCCGGGCCAGCTGCGGCGCCCACCCTCGCCGCCGCTGCCGCCACTGCCGCCACCGCCCCCCGGCCCCGTCGCGTCCGCCTCAGGCGCGGCCCAGAGAGCCCGGGGCCTCCGGCTCCCGCTTGGCCCGCGGACACGCCCTTCAGCCAGCCATTGGTGCAGCTGCCAAGTTATCCCCGCCCCTTTGCTTTCGTAGGAAAAAAATGTGTGTGGTATTAGAGAAGTGGCCTGTCATTCCTCCACCCCGTGGCGTTGCTACCGCTTAGGTTCCACCCCTTCCCCTTTGATCTTGGAAGCTTCTTGTTTATTGGCTGTTGATTGGCCAACATGTAAGATCAACCCGCCCTCCGACTTTTCTGGAGGGCGGGAGAAACTTAAGGCTGAACTTTGATAGGCTCAACCACTCTTGATACTTTGACCGCGGCCATTGGCCCTCATCACGTCGGGATCCGATTGGCTACCGGAAGAGAGCGAAGAGCCCAGGGGCGAGAGAGGCCGGATTTGGGCCCCAGACTGGCGCCTGTGGAGCTCCAGGCGGTACCCTCTGGGGTGGTTGGGGCGTGGTGCCAGGCCTTCAAGGTCAAACCGCTGACGGATGCCGTTAGGATCTGCGTTCGAGCGCCCGCCCCAAATCCCGGGATGCGCGGGTCGCGTGCAGGCGGCCTTGGCCCGAGAGCTCTGTTCCCGCGGGATCTCAGGCCGGCGTGAGGTGGAGCCAGCTTGAGCCGGGTATCCCCTGGCGCGGCCCGCGGGCCGTTCCGGGAAGCTGTTGCGACAAGCGGGCGGCGGCTCGTTAGACTGGTCGCATCTGGAGCGATGCCCCCCACACCGTCTCGTGCAGCTCGTGAGCCGACTCCCGAAGGCCCTGTGCTCCTCAGGCCCTAGCGCGCCTCACCAGGCTTGCACCCGAAGTCGCCCTGTAAACCCCGCAGTTGTTGAATGAATGAGTTCCTCGGGGCCCGCCGTCGCTGGGTCCTGCGCCGAGCCGAGAGCTGGAGGGAGGGAAGAGAGATGTCGAAATGGGGCGGGATGATTCAGAGATGACGACAGGCGGAGAGGCGGGTCTGGAGACAGCTTGCCGCAACAAGCACGGAAAGTACGGCGGCTGTGGAGAAGCTCGGACGTACCACTTTCCCCGAAGCTGACGCGCTGATGACCACCGCTGCCTGGTGGTGACTGCCTTTTGTGATAAGACCGCTCTCCCTCCCGGGCGGGTCCGCCGGGGTTTAAGAGGGGCGCTCTCAGGTGAAGGACAATGCCAGCGAGCCCCAGCCTCGAGCACCACTTCCTGGGCGACGCTGCTGCGCGGGAGCTACACGAGGGCTGCTGGCTAGTCTGAGTGAACGCAGGAGCTTTCCCCGCTCCTCCGTCTGCCCTGCTTCTTCAGTATCCCTTCTCTGGGGCGTGTTTGTACAAGCCTCCCACTGGTTCCAGCTCAGTCTTTCTACCTGTTTTGCTGAGATGGTGATGCAATTGTGAACTTTCCCATCTGGTTATAGCTTTGCTTTAAGGAAGAGATTGTCCTTTTTTTCTCTGAAGCTAGCCCTTCTCTGGGCCTCTGGGAGTTTTTGTTTTTAACTTTGTTTTACTCACCTATTCTGTCTCTCCTCAGCAATGGTTATTAACCTTAGGGTCTCCACCTTTTGGAAAATCATGAAGCTACAAATCCTCTTCGCCCCTCCACTTCTAGAGGTCCATGAACTTCAGGTTAAGAACCCCTCTTCTACATCTTTCCCCTTCTCTAGCTCACTTCCCTTGAAAAATGAATAGGACTCACAAAAAGAAAACCACTCAATCCTGCTAGAGTACTAATTCTCTTTACTGCCAAACTACTCCAGTAATGAGTTATGCCTGCTATGTCCTTTTTCTCCTTCAGCCCTACATTTTTACTCCTTAATTCGGTAGTCACAAATGACCTTTCCAAATGCAATGGCCTTTTTCTTATTCCCTCGTGGCCTCAATAACCCATCCCTCACTGAAATTTTTTTCCTCATTAGGAGCCACTTTATTCTACGTTTTAGACTCCTCAGTCTCTGACACTTTTCTACCGACTGAAGGAGAACATTCCTAAAGGTTTAATGCTTCTTGTTCATCTTCACTACCTTAGAGAACCTTACCATTCCAAACCTGCTTTTCTCATTGGACTTATATTTCTTTCATTGCATACTTCTTAACTAAAATTTCCATGTGAACATTCAGTAAATATTTATTGAGTGCCAGCTCTGTACTTGAAGCTGGTGACCCAGGTCACAGTCCATGGAGTTCGCATGGAGCTTACTTTTTCTTTCTTTCTTTTTTTTTAATGTTTATTTATTTTTAAGAGAGACAGTGTGTGAGTGGGAGAGGGGCAGAGAGAGAGGGAGACACAGAATGTGAAGCAGGCTCCAGGCTCTGAGCTGTCAGCACAGAACCTGATGCGGGGCTCAAACCCACAGGCCGTGGGATCATGACCTGAGCCGAAGTCAGATGCTCAACGGACTGAGCCACCCATGCGCCCCTCATGAAGCTTACTTTTTTAATGAGGGGAGGGTGATAGACAAAAATACCAGTTAACTCTAGGTATGATTCTGATACTGAAATAGGTGTGATAAAGTGTGACTAGGTGGCTACGTTTGTTGGACTGGGAAAGGCCTTTCTGAGGGGATGACACCATGATAAGTTCTAAATGACAAACCCAGAAAAGAGCATTCCAGAAGAAACAGTAGGTACAATAACCCTGCGGTGAGAACAAGGTTGGTGCATGAAGGAACAAAGGTGAGTGTGGCTGGAACATGGTGAGAGAAAGGGGAGGTGACACAGGATGAGATTGGGGAGATAGGCAGAGGGTGAACATCCACCTTAATATCTGACTTGGCATGTTCATTCCAAACTTAGCCCCTTCCACGTCCCACTCCAACCAATTCCTCCAAAATGTTCCTTTTCTAAAGCTGGAGGTCTTCTGTAGCTATCCTTTAGAAATATTCTGAAGCATTTTTGCTTTCTTTTTCCTTCCTTTTGATTCATTTTCCCAGTATCTGATACCTTCACATCTATACTGCAAGAACCTTTGAATGTTCTACCTCTGGGATTCCCTGGCTTCAGGGGCTTCACCTCTGGGATTCCCATCCTTCCAGGTACATGGTAAGGATTGCTCTTCCCACCTCCTTAAAGATAGGCATGGCTTATGCATAACAGTGGATTTGCTTTGACCAAGGAAATATGAGAGAAGTGTGAGAGCCACATATGAACTTCCCTGCCACATGACTGGTGATGTTTAGAAGGCTCCATCAGCCTGGTGCCCCAGTAAGGATGATGAAGCAAAGTCACTTACTTGCTACCCCCTTCCCCTCAGATGGGCTTTCAGCATGAGTAAGAAATAATCTTTGTCTTTAAAACAGATTTTGGGATTATTCCACACCATAGCATAATCTAGCCCAGTGCCACCGCTCAGACTTTACTGTGATATTAGTCACCCGAAGAATTTGTTAAAATGCAGATTATAATTCTCTAGTGGGGACAGGGATTCTGCGTTTCTTACAAGTTCCCAGGTGATGCTGATGCCATCAGACCCTGGAGCACACTTTGAATAGCAAGCACCTAACCCACCCTGACTATCTGACATCCCACCTTCAACACATCTGCACATGCTGCCCTACACCTCACCAACCCTTAAACTTCCCCCCCCCCCCAAAAAAAAGGAGCTAACAGAGAAATAACCTTATTGGAGATATTCCTTAGAAGCCCTCAATAGCTCCCATACCTGCAGCTCCTCAGTCAGACATTGTAGGATTTTTTCTTACATTCCTAGGACCATTGCTTTTCATATTCTCTCTTCTCTACTGTCTTTATTTTCTGCCTCTACCAATGAGACTATTCATTGTCTCACTATCAAGTTTCATCTATTTTCTTTAATAATAGAAACCTCAAGTTTTAGTTTGGGGCTATAAGTCCAGCTGAAGTCCATATTTCCCCCAGCTTCCCCTTCAGCTGGTGTTAGCTGTGTGACTAAGTCCTAGTTCATGGGATGTGAGTGTAAGTGGCATGAGACATCTGGGTTCTGCCTTTAAAAGGAAGATTATGTCCTCTGAGTATTTTCTTCATGTTCTCCCTTCTTGTCCTTTAGAATACAGACCCAGAAGTTGTCAGCCATTTTTGGCCACATAGACAAGGCCTATACCTTAGGTGGGCAGAGCAACCGGTTGAAGAAAACTGCTGCCTTTTGGGCAGTAACAGTAATACCTTTGGACTAATCACGTTCTGGTACATGAGAGAACTCGTTTAAGCAGTTGCTGTTAGTTTGAATCTTTGTTTACAGTATCAGGTTTATATCCTGATACATGTTCATCCCGAGAATGCATTTCACCCTTTGTTCTTACCAAAATTCTTCTTGAAGGTCCAAAACAAGTCCCACTACTTCCAGCTTATAATACCCTCTTTCCCTGAACTGCTATCCCACATGACCATATGAGGTATAATACAGAATGAGATGGATTCCAGCAGCCACCCGTGCAAATAACACTGACTTCTTTACAGTTACTTAAAGAGAAATAGATTCCTAAATTATGAAGAGTAGACCATGAAAGCTGTAGGAATTCAGAGGTGGGGCAGTCAGTGAGTAGAGAAGATATAAGAAGATATGTGTTTGAGCAGTTTAAAACTGGAGAATGTACACAAGAAGACATTTCCAGGGGGTGTGTGGGGAACAGTTTCAAGGGAATCAATTTGTTATTCCATGTCTTCTGCATCTTTCCTAACATTCATCTTTCTGAGAAAGCAGTTGAGGCAGCTCTCCTTTCCTTCCTCCTGTTTCTCAGTCTGTCCTCCCACCTTACAAAAGGAAAGTGTGTCTTCACCTGTCCTTCGTCTTGGTATAGTTCATTGTCCTGGTATGTACAAACCTCCAGGTAGCTACGCCACCAGGTAGTCCTGGTGCCAGCAAGGCCCCCTTCAATCAAGGTACAACTGTAGATTTCATGTGTTTGTCTGACTTAAGTATATTTCCATTAGGGCAAAACATGTCT